AAATTCTAAATAACAAAGGAGAGAACTACCACCAGGTTTGATAACATTGTTATACAAAATTTTGAATAGACTTGATGAAACACCAGTTACGTTGTATCAAAAACAGTGTTTTAAAAAACTTTTGCAATACAATTACAAACACTGAAAATTCTAAGTGGTATATGTCACCTACCACTTTACACCAACTTAATAAAGACACAAGTCCTTACTGTAGGAAAAACTGTGGACAAAAAGCAGTTTATACATTGCTGGTGACAGTGTAAATATATTAGTGAATTTTGAACACAAATAACTGAAGTAGCCTTTTACACTATAGGCAATTGTCTTGAATAAATGGACAGACTCTAGGAGAGGAACACAAAAAATGGAACTCATTACAGCTTAGTTATCTACAGCTAAGACAACAATTGCAAAACAATGGATAGAAAAACAAATTCCGACAATTCGACAATGGTTTTCCAGAATTTGGGAATATTTTATTTTGAATAAATTAGCTTTCCGTACTTCTAACCAGCCTATTGAAACATATAAGGAAAAAAATGGTAGTAGTATAGTACCCTTTGATTAGTTATGTGGCAGAAAATGGTATTATACCAAATAATCCTCTGTACCAAGAGATGATATATTTTTAGTTTGATATAACTGAATGATTTTTGTATTGATGATGTAATCTGTTGAACTGTTTTTTTTGATGTGATGTTAAACATTTTTGTTTTGTTTATTGTTATGGTTGGGAAAACGACCATTGGTACTTACCCGTGAAGGGTCCTTCTCCTCTGAGGCTTGGAGGCCATCTTGTGGGTGATTCCCATCCTTCTTCAGGGAGGCAGGACTAAGTTGAAACTTCTTCCTGTTTCCTTTGGTGGGAGTCACCCTGGCTCAGTTCGGTGCTCCGCAAGCAGTAAGCTAAATAATAACTATGCTTAACAGTAATATAGTCAGTAAGAACAGGAAGAAAACAATATATAACAGTATAACTTTGAACTAGGGTAACTTGAGACGAATCAGTATGACGACTTGGGAGGGCCAAGATGGCCTCCAAGCCTCAGAGGAGAAGGACCCTTCACGGGTAAGTACCAATGGTCGTTCTCCCCTGAGGCGGAGGCCATCTTGTGGGGTCTCCCAGAGCAGTATTTAATTTTTGGGTGGGAGGTCGTCATCTGCCGTAAGAACAGACTGCAAAAAGCGACGACCAAAGGCCGCATCAGCCGAATCATATATATTGATTTTGTAATGTTTTATGAAAGTGGAAAGAGATGACCCCAGCAATTGATATTCAGAGGTACACTGCCTCAAAACACAGAGGCTCTGTTTCAGCATTGTGGCTAATTGCCAGCCACCCAGTTGAATGTGACCCAACAGCCACGTGTGGCAGCACATTGTGTGAGGATCAATAAACCTTCAATTTTTATTGTCTGTCTGGGACTGCAAAAAAGGTTGTCATGTAACAGGATAGCAACACTACAATTGCAGAGCTTAAAGTATGCTGGCTTGGCTTTGTCTTTCTCTGCAGCTCACACTCACAGATACCAAACCTCTGGCATTCTCACAAAACTGCTTACATGTTGTTTGCAACCCCATTGTCAAAGCACTTAATAATCCAAGCAGTCCTTCACTTAGAAAAACCTTCCCTCCTCCCAAATCAGCTTTGTGAAAATTATCCCTGTCATTAACAGTACTGTAAAATCTTTCTCACAGCATTGACTGGAAAGGTAGAGTGAATTCTACTGCCTAGGAAGGCAGAGAAAGCTTTTACTTATAAAACGGAGCAGGGTTTCAGGGTTTTTTTTTTAACCCAAGATATTGAGTATTCAGTAAATTCAGATGATAGTGGCTCTGCTCCTTTTAGGGGGAGAGAAGGAGAAATAGATTTATTTTGGTAGATCCTTCAGGCTAACTTGCAACAAACTGTAATTCATCCTACTTTTTTTCTTGAAACAGACGATTTGACCCTGGTTTGAATCTGTACTTCTCATGAATCAGGGTTAGTTTTAGCAGAGTTGGAGGCTTTTTGAAAGAGTATGCAGTCATCCCACTCTAGGCTAAACTATGGGTAATGCTAGATGTAAGGTCTTCCCTTATGACTGGGAAAGTAGATTTCTTTTTAATTAACTTTTTTGAATTAGGTATTTACCTGAACTGCAAGAGAGGTATGTTAGAGTTTTGTGAATGAAACTTCAGAAGTAGAATTTGGTCCTAAGAAACAGTCATGGGGGGAATATTACTCATGTCCATGGCATGGGGAAGGGGGGGGGGTTTAACGTTGACTCCTTCACAATGCAATTTCGCAGGTCAAGAATGTTGACCCTGAAATGCCCCCTGGGGGAATCATTCTCAGAGGAGCAAACCACATGGGTGGGGAGTTAACACCCCCTATCTCCTTTTCTGAGCAAAATAATATGTTTGGAGTTCAGATCACAGAATGCCAACATGTTGTATGGCTTTGAAAACTGCAGGACTGTTTCCCATGGGAAGCCAAGCCTCCTTTAAAACATGTTTTATTCTCCTATAAATTATTGTTTGTCTCCACCACTCGGCAACTTGAGGTAAGCCACTAGCAGATCACACCATCTCCCTTATAAATAAAAGCCGAATGGTGGTGGCACTTCTCTAGAACATTCCACATGCTCCAAAATCAGTTCGCTCTCTGATCTGTCATTCAGAGGGTCTCCCTATCCACTGGCTGCTTTGCCTGCCTCCAACATTCTAAACATTTTGCTGTTCCTCTCCTCCCCTAGCCAGTCAGAACACAGAGGTTATTTGCATATGCAGCCTCATTGGCCTCTGCCTCGGAACCCAGAGGTTGTTTGCATATGCGACTTGATTGGCTTTTGCCTCTAACATTCTAAACAGTTTTGCTGTTCTGAGGCAAAATGTGTCCAATCTCCAGGTGAGGGCTGGAGATCCCTCAGAATTCCAACTGCTTTCCAGATGGCAGAGACCAGTTCCCCCTGAGAAAATTGTGGGCTCTGTATCCTTATATGCTGCTGAGGTAGCCCCCGTATGACAGCCAATGAGATGTAGCAGTCAGGGCTTCAGAGCACGGGAGAGGTTGCAGGTGTGTGTGGGGTGGAAAGCTGAAGAGTGAGGGGCAAATAACGGTAGGTTGATGATTGGCTGGGAAGGAGATAGGGTTGCCAACTCCAGGTGGGAAATTCCTGGAGATGTGAGGGATGGAGCCTGGAGAGGGTGAGGTTTCAGGAGGCGTGGGACCTCGGACAGGTACAAAGCCATAGATTCCACCCTCCAAACCAATGATTCCCTTCTGGGGAACCATCATTGCCAATCTCCAGGTGAGGGCTGGAGATCACTCAAAATTACAACTGTTCTTTAGGTAGCAGAGATCAGTTCCTCTGGAGAAAATGGTGGACTCAGTGTCATTATACCCTGCTGAGGTCACCACAACAAATTAACACTGAGTGCCCAAGGCCGGGGCACCCGCCCAGAGCCTCTTTCTAGAGGTCGTTGTATTTATTTTCACAACGGGCCTTTTTCCTAGTATGTGTATAATACACAGCTGCAGCAGCTATCCTGTCTGCTCATCTTGTGAAGATGGTTGCATAAAGATGGTTGTTCATCATTCCTGTGACTTAAATAAAAAGGTCCCCCCATGATCTACCAGCTGATGCAGCTTGCTCTTGTGATCACACACTCAGCCAATGGATATGTTAACTGATCCTGTGATTCAGCCTAAGTTACATCACATGCTTGCTATTAAATAGGTTGCAGGGGGAAATTAATTAGATCCTCTCTAATCACCTTTGTAATGAGCCGTAAATTCAGCAAAGTATTCATCAGTCCAGACACCTGAGAAGATGTTTTTTAATTTTTACATAAGTGATTAGGTAGGCCAATCAAATATATTCTTTCCTGTTAGAGCTGTATAACTTAATTGATGTAAGGTCTTCCCTTATGACTGGGAAAGTAGATTTCTTTTTAATTAACTTTTTTGAATGTAGTATTTACCTGAACTGCAAGAGAGGTATGTTAGGCTGACTGGTCCAAGGTCACTCAGCAAGCAGAGTATTCAAGCCTGCATCTTCAAGGTCCTAGTCCAACACCCTGTCTACTAAACCAACCTTGGCCCCCTTGAAGAGGGAAGAAAAGCAGGCTATAAATGTCATTTATTTAAAACATGTGTACTGAGTTTTGCTAGGCACCGATGTTATATTTAAAACAAAATTAAAAGTAACAATAACAGTCAAATGTAAACAACCACAATAATATTACAACATTAAAAACCAAAGTTATAGTCAACCAAAATAAAACGCAATTAAAAAGAAATCATAAACGTGTGCAGGATCAGGCTGTAGATCCCACATCACCGTCGGCTTTCATTCCAAAACTTTTAAGAAGTTTTAAACATTCCGAAAATCCTTCACAACAGGCTACCAGATCTCCATTGTGAAACTAATGGTTACCGGTTTTCCAGCGCCCTCCAGCGTCCTGCAGGAACGGTTTCGATAACTTCGTGCGGGGCAGTGAGGGGGTGGGAGAACCTCTTCGTTGCTGCCGCTCGTTTCTCCGGGGTGGGGTTGGTCGCCATGTGTAGCTTCCCGTACTGAAATCAGCTACCTTCGTCTCCTATGAACCTGATCCGCCTCTTCCTCACTTCCTTTAAACCGACCCGTAACAACAGCAGCACCGGCCCCTTTAAACAATTTCTCCCAGGCAGGGAAGGGGTGGGAAGCGCCGTCAAGTCACAGCTGACTTACGGTGACCCCCGTAGAGTTTTCAAGGCAAGAAAGGTTCACAGGTGGTTTGTTACTGCCTCTGCGTAGAGACCCTGGACTTCCCATCCAAACACAAGTCAGGGCCGACCCCGCTTAGCTTCCGAGATCTGACGAGGTGGTGCTGGCAGGGGCTGGGGAGGGGGAAAGCGTCTACCACCTCTCCCTGTTCCCACCCACCTTCCTGGCTCCACCAATCAGCACTCACTCGAGACGTTCTCTTGGGCAGGGCTGGGAGAGGAGGAAAAAAAGTTTAGTCAGGACTGAGGAGAGAAAAGAAGCGGCCGGAGGACCCCTGCGGCGCCGCCAGGTGAGCGCGCGGGACTGTGCTGTGCCCTCCCCCCCCCCCCGCTCCCGCTGGAGGGAGGCCTGTGAGGAAGAGGAGAGAGAGAGGAAGTGGGGTGATTCCTTCTTTATTTTCCCTAGGGACGGGTGACTGTGTATGCTTAAAAATTCTGAGGGAGGGGGCCATAATTACCCCTATACTCCTTAAGATCTGACTGGGGTGGGGCGAAGGGCCACAGAGTGAGTATCCCATTGCTGATGGGGGGGCGGGGCGTTGACACTTGAGAAAAAAGGGTATGGGAAATGTCCCAACCTCACACCCACCAGGGAAAAATCCCCTTACATATAGTAGGAAAAGGGGTTATGTGGAGGGTCTTCAGGAGAAAGCTTGGGGGAGATTTAACCCAACCACTTTTCAGGACCTGATCTGTGGGGGTTTGGAGGGAGAAGAGACATGGGGAGTGAGTGCCCCCCCCCCAGCCCAGGGAGCCTGCACATGGAAAAGGGGAGTCTACTGGAAGGCTCTAGAGTGGTAACATCTGTGTCCTAGTGACTAGGGCCTGAATCCAGGGTGGGTGTTGGGAAAAAGGAATATGAGAAGTGCCCCCCACACATAAAGGGGTCTTCAATGGAAGGCTTTTGGGTTGGCATTTAACCTCCCCACCCCACTCCTTAAGAGCTGATGGGCGGGTCATGGAAGGTGCTTCCCTTGTATCTACACCAGGCAAGAGGCTTATAATGGGAAGTCCAAGGTGGAAGACTCTTCATTGGAAAAGCTGGATTGGTTCACTGGTTCACTTCATTGGAAAAGCTGGATTGGTTCACTGTTCAAAGCTGGATTGGTTAACAGAAAAAAAAGGATATGTGGAGTGTCCCCTTCAAACCCTTAAGGAGTTTACCCGCTTTTGCATGGAAGAGGATGATGTGGAAAATCTTCACTGAGAGGTGTAGTGGGGTTTTCTCACTTCTTAAAGACCTCACCTTTGTTGGGGGTTGTGGGAAAAGGAACTTGAGGAGAGCTCCCTGCATAGACATCCCACAAAGGAGTACTTCCATTTTTAAAAAACATGAGAAAGGGTTCCCTGAAAGGCTTGGGAGGGGCATAACTCCTCCAAAGAGGATCTTGAGGAAGATCAGAAAGTCAGGGGCAATGCTCCCTCTAAGCTGTGGAGTCTTATAAGCAAAAGTTCTACTTTGAGAGCTACTGGCATTAAAGTTGTGAGCAAGTGTTTTGGCTGTTGCGTAAATTAGTTCGCTCTGGAACCATCCTTCCTGAGCTAAGACAAAAATGTGTGAGCTGGAGGCTAAAAAAACTCTGAGCTAGCTCACACTAACTCAGCTTAGAGGGAACACTGGTCAGGGGCGGGGTGGGGTAAGGAACATGAGCTCCTACTATCTCCCCCCTCTCCTTTAGGGACTTCTCTGGAGCCCCCTTACTCCAGAGAGGGAGGAATGGCGGATGTGAATCTTCAAGCTCCCCCATCAGATGCTGTTTCTTCCGGGGGAGGAATGAGGAAAGGTAAAAGACTGTGTAAAAGCATTCAGGTGACATTTTTGCTCTGTTCCTTATCTAAGGAATCCCACATACACTAGTGAAAGAGGGACACATAGTATGTGTGGGCTTTTGCTCCCCTCAGCAATAGCTTAAGGAAAGGTAAGAGAAAGTGAAGGGGCTTTGGAAAATAAACATAACTGATCCCTCATGTAGGTAGCACCCCCCACACAAACACAAATCAGCTAAGGAAAGGTTGGGGGGGATTAGGTGGAAAGTCTGTCCAAATGCGGGAGTAGACAGGAGGAAATCAAAAATCTGCAGGTGGATTGGTTCAGTTCTGCTCATAGTTGGTATTCCTGTATACAATTCTGGACTAAGTGGACCCTGGTAAAATGCTGCCTGTGCTCTTAAAAATAAGAGTGTGAGCTTGCTTTTTAGTTATAACTCAGCTGTGAAAAGATCTGTGTGTGTGCTTTTATCATGTTAACCTTAAAACACAGTGATGTGAGGTGAGCTTTGACTCCTGAAAGCTTATGCCCTGGAAAAATTTGTTGGTCTTTAAGGTGGACTCATATTTTGAAGGGAATCTGGCAAGAGAGCCAGTGTGGTAATATAGAATCAGGATTTGCCATGGAAGATTGCTGGGTCACATATTCTAACGAAACCTGCCACTTAGGTTGTTGTAAGGACAAAATATAGAAGAGGAGAATGCAGTATGCTGTTTTGGGTCTCCATTGGGGAGAAAGGTGGGATATAATTGAAATAAATAAGCAGAACAAAAATAAACCATGCAAGAATAAAATCCTCCTGACTCTGTTCTATGGTGCATCAGTTCCCAGAGAGGCTGTGAAATAGGATGACTGTATGGAGTCCACCCTTTACTTAGCGTCTTGTGGTCAAGAGATGGATAGAGACATTTACTCCAACACTTTGGAGTGGGGTATCAATAGAAAAGAGGTGAGGATGTAGCATGTTGGCATCTCCAGAAAAGAGGGGGCCACATTTTTTTTTTCATGTTAGGCCTACCAGCAATTTAAATGGCTTCACCTTGGTGTGTTCCTGTGAAGATATAACCGATTGGGGCAATTTGAGAAAATGGGGATTTTTTAGCCTATCATAGAGGGACCCACTAGTGAGATGGAGGGTGGTAGCTGAGTGATCCTGGGGAATGTGAAGAATTTACTGGGATTATAGGAGAAGCAGGAAAAGTCAGTTCCTGCTGCAAAGATGTTTTTTTGGGGGGTAATTCCCAAATCTCCTGCCAACCTAGCAGTTCGAAAGCAAGAAATTGCAAGTAGATAAATAGGTACCACTTCGGTGGGAAGGTAACAGCGTTCCGTGTGCCTCGGTGTTTAGTCATGCCGGCCACATGACCACAGAAATGTCTTCGGACAGCGCTGGCTCTTCGGTTTTGAAACGGAGATGAGCATCGCAACCCTAGAGTTGGATTCGACTGGCTTTCGAGCAAGGGAACCTTTACCTAATTCCCAAATGCAGAAAAAAATGTAGAAAGGGGTGTGGCCTAGTTGAGAAGCAGGTGGTGATCAAAGCTGATTTGCATTCTTGCCCCCAACAAATAAACAACCATTGAAGCCGGAAGTGAGCTTAACCTCAAACAGCTGCTGTTGTTCCCAGCTACACTACCCTGGGGGAGGGGGGGATGAGTCAGGCAGGTGACTAAATATCCAGGAAAACAAATAGTATGCCAGGTAGCAGTGAATGTGGTAGAGCTCTGATGCAACTTGACAAACTGAAGTGACTGCCTAAGAGTCCTGTTTTGGTCACAGATTATTGTATTTATGGCTGGTTTCTTTCTCTCTGTGATCAGGGATGTATGTGTGGATAATATTTGGGAACATTACATCTTAATCTTAAATATATGGCACACATTTTTGTTCTACAGTATATTATATTCTGATTTAATTTTAATGGTGATCATGCTAGAATTGGGGATTTTGTGGCTTCATATTCCGTTTATTGTCCAGCAATGTGCTATTTGACACCTGACAATGGTAGAAAATTAATTATATTAATATTAATCAGTTAACAGAAATTATCAGAATATAAGGTCCTGTACAGAATAAGGTAAAAGATGTTTTATTTTGCTTAGGGAATGGGTCACTTTTAAAAATCCATGTCCATGAATCCTTGCATCCTTCTCTCCAAAGCCCAAACATCACTAGGAGATAAACCCAGAGCACTGAGAAAAATGTGTCACCTAAGAGTCAATTTAGGTAACACATTTTTCTCAGTGCTCTAACAACAATAATAAGAGTCAATTTGCACCTGCTCTTTTTGAAAAAGCAGCAGCTTATTCTGGCAGTAAAATACTTCAATTCTGTACTGTTAGTACTGCCCCTTCAAGTAGGAAGTACACTTCTGTTTTCCACTTTTTCTCCATGCTGAAAAAAAAATGACTGTCCCATAGACTCTTTAAATAAGTGAGGGTGGGGGACTCCTCACCTTAAAAGGACACTGCTTAACTGTTTCTGCTCAGAAGGGAAAAGCTTAATTACCTTATACTCCTGATCTGTTCATACCCTTTCAAGGGAAAACAGCAGGAAACTGACACTGAGTCTTCTTCCTCTGGCATTTATCAGTGAGCTACCTCTTGTCAGGTACAAATCCCATGGAGATAAGAACATATCTCATGCTAAACTGCAAGGACAATTGTACCCTGACATTCTGCTAGGGAGTTTATTTTCACCCCAAATGCTATCTCTTATCAGTGACAGGCCTGTTGATATATGGAGTGTCCTCTTTCATATGGCTGGATTGTGTAATGAAGAATTCAAAGACTAGGGTCATTTGAAGGGGGTGGTGTCATTTGTATGCCTACTAACTAGTCAGATATTACTTACTTGGTCATTTGAAATTTCCACAGGAGTTAAGTTATAGTATTTCCTCTTCACTCTTAAGTCCTTCATGAAGTAGGGATGTTGAGTAATGCGCGAGATAACACGCACGAGATAACATGGGGGGGGGGAAGCGAAGCTATTTCCCCTGGAGGAATTTGACCCACAGTTGCACGATCACACAGTCCTTTGAAGCTGCGAGGGCAGCCCGCCACTGTGTGATCACACGCAACAGCAGGTGAGTTGGGTTTTTTTTTGCCATTTCTTCCCAATGCGCTTAAATAGGGAATCAGTGAATTGCATCTCAGCACAAGAGCTCCCTATGGAGTGTGCGATGTGCATACTGAGAAGGGGGAAAAAAACAACGGCCCGGAGTCGGGATGGCCTGATCAGACCATCCCGACGCCATGAGCGTGTGCTGCAGCAATCAGGCAGAGGAAAGTCCGTCCATGGCCCATAGCAACCCGTTTGCTATCGGACTTTCCTTGGTGTCTTTTTACTCCACTTCTGCGGCAGAGCAAAATGGGTTGCCGACAGGTGCAGGGCGCTGATCACATCTGATCACATCCTTTAAATCTGCCCGGTATTCGTGACTATGGCACGGCTAATTGTGCGTGTGATCGCACCCAACGTTTAAATTAATTCTGGGTATAAGCTCTGGTGTGCACGCACACG